AGGATCTAGGGGCATCACTTTGCCGGGAGTAGCGGAGTAGGCGGAGTAGCAGCTGGACATCATGGCAATTAGACTGCAGAAAGCGTCTGGAAATCAAACATGTTATCAGCGATTCTGTTCGCATGGAAGAAGTCTGGGGTTTGTGATACGCTGCTTTGTTGTGGCGTGCTTGCAGGTGATGCCGCCCAAAGCAAAGGCAAAGGCAGCTGGCAAGCAGAATGCGCTGCAGGCTGAGGGCTGGTGTTGCTCTGGTGGTTCTGGGGCTAATGTGGGGGGTCCTGTTTTTGGTACCGTTTGCTGCTCCTTGGATTGGCTTCGGAGTTTTGGGCCTCCCCTGTAGCGACTTCTTACTTTTGGCAGATTATTTGCAATAAGGTTTTGCATTTTGTTGGAAGTTCAAGCGGCATGCAAGTTTTTAACTGGTGTCCGTCCATGATGAGTACGCAAGGCATGAGGATGCTACCGCAATTTTTTCGTGATGGCAGCATGAACGTACCTGTTATGATTCCGGATGCTTTTTTGCCGTGGCCAGAAGCATTGGTATACAAGAAGTGTGGCTGCTGGGTAGGGTGGGAAATAGGCCATGCAGGTTCCAGAAGAAAAGCCAAGCAACTTTCACGACATATTATTTGCATTCCATTCTTCATGTTGCCTAGAGAAGCAATGCCGAATCCATGTAGCTTGCAACTGCGGCGCCAAATACGTGCCTTGCAGCAAAAGAAGCGCAGACTGTCATCTGCGCAGAAGAAGACCTTGCACGCGTCGTCCTCTCCTAGGACCTTGCTTGTCTTCCATTTCTCAAGCTTCCAGCCGGAAATTGTGGCGGACTTCCTTCTGGGAAGGGGACAAAGCAAGCTGCAACTCCAGCCTCCAGATTTGGGCGCAAAGAACGCTATAGTGAATGATGTGAAATCTGGATTTGAACAAGAAATGGCACTGTGCGGGCCAGACCCCACAGCTTGGGCACATGTCACGCCGAAGGACAATGTTGTTGCTTGCCGTTATGTTGTGGAGCACAGGCTTTGCAGTTGGCTGCGTGCGCAGAATTTTGTGCATGGCGTGGCGCCATCGCGCAGCCAGATTATGGAACAAGGGCCGAAACTGTTGCCAACAAATTTGCCAGCGGCAACGAAAAGTGCCATGGAGAAGATTTTTGCAGCTTCTGCCCGGACGCAGCGAAAGTGGTTGGCAAGCTTTCGGCGTCGCTGGCATGCCCGTATTGGGATGCTGCGAGTCCACGATCATGTTCCTCCTGAGCTTAGGAATAGCAAGGTGTCTCGTATGAGTATTGAAGGAATTGATCCAAATTTTAGGGAGCCGATTGAAAGACTTTTATGTACATTTCCGGTCCTAAAAATGGGACGGTCTGGCGGTCTCATTTTTGGGACCGTAATTGTGACCACCCTTTTGTTTTCATTTCCTACCACTTTGGCGGACCCATTTTTGGGACCGCCTGGCGGTCCCATTTTTGGGACCATCTTTGACCCCAATTTTGCAGGCCGTGGCTTTTTCCGTTGGATGAATGCAGCTGTGGCCGATGCGCCTTCAGGGCGGCAGCCTTTGCTCATCAACATGGACGAGACCTCGCTGGCATATCACTTCTGTGGACTGCGTGGGACGGTATTGAAATTGCAGATTGATTCCCGGGAGCAGCCTTCTGATGCAGCTTCCTTGTCCGAGATTCGCGGACATGTGTCATACCTGGCATCGGTAGCAAGTGATCCAGAAGTGCAAGCACTTCTGCCTCAAGTTCTTCTCGGAAACGAGCACCGCTTCACCAAAACTTTGCTTCGCAGTGTTGAAAAGATTTGCCCTCCACAGGTGCACCTGTGGCGACAAAAGTCTGCCTGGAATTCCCATGCCACAATGCGGCGATACATTTGTTTGTTAGCCAAGACGTTGGGGAGTTTGGTCCACGAGCGATATGTCATTCTCATTGTAGACACGGCAAAAGCACACATACACCAATCAATTTACAAATTGGCTCGGCAGCGCGGGCTGCGTTTGGTTTTTGTCCCTGCTCGGATGACGCGGTGGTTGCAGCCTTGTGACACACACGTGTTTGGTCCTTTCAAGACTGCTTTGATGGAAAATTGGAAACGCAGCAAGTCTGAAGCGACGGAGGGTGTTGTGGATGCGCAGAGGTGGCTGCAAGTGATTTTCAAAACCATAGACCAAGTCTTGCCTGGTGATTGGAGCAAAGCCTTCCATCGAGATGGGATCTTGAACCAGCAAGCAGACCTGTCGGACAAGATTCGGGCAAGTTTGGGTTGGAAGTTCGTGCCTGTGGTGCCTACTACGCTCCCAACATTGGAAGAAGCCAAGATCATTTTTCCAAATCGGATGCGTCTGAACTTCATGTCTTACATTCATTGGGGCCCGCCTGAGAAACCGCTGCCTGCTGCCCCAGATGCCTCTTCATCTTGTGGTCCAGCTCCCAAGCGGCGAAAGTTTCCTCAAACATTTCGCGGCAGACCAGTACTCACGTTGGACTAAGCAACTAGGGAGGCCCACTGGAGCGAAGCCACTTTGCAGCTCAGTTTGCGGTCCCAGAAATAGAACCGGCTAAAACAAGTTTGTTTGCAAAAAGATCGTGCGGCAGTCTTGTAGATCACGGGGCGCTGATGCATGTCCACACGCATGTCGTTTAGAGTTCGTCAGGTGGAGAGTTGAGTAGGTGAAGCCAGGCAGGTAGGTAGTCATCGCATTCAGCCTGGCATCACCCAGTGATCCATGCCCCCCCATGCCAGTTCACCTTGAGTGGGCATCCTATCCTTGGAAATCTGTGTTGGGGTGATTTTGGGGACGACTGTAGTCTGTTATGTGTGAGGTCGTGCTGTGTGAACAGCTCCAAGATTTGAAGCACAAGCATGAAGCTGCGAAGAAAGCAGCCCGCGAAGCCAAGAAGATGGAAAAGAATGCCCTCCGCAAACGGACCCGTCTAATCAAGGTGCCTCTCTGCCTCTGCGTGAGTGCTGGGCGGACTTTCACGTGCAGGACGCTGTGTGTCCTCATGTTTCATGTTCATGAATGGCAGGCTGCCAAAGGGTTGTCAAAGGCAGATCTGCAACTCCTCCTAGATGCAAAGAGCAAGGAAGTTGAGGAGGCCGGGTGGCCTTCTTTTGATTGTGTAAGATCATTCCCAGCGTCTCCCCCATTTTCGTTTTCATGCTTTCGCTTTCCATCCAAGGCAAGGAAGTGGAGGGGCCGGCCTCCGAGGCTAAGTGAGAGCAACTGTATGTGTGTAAAGAGCATTTTTCGACCTTCCTCCATTTTTCGAGCTGGCAAGCAGACGCATGTTCTGCCGATTGTAACTCGAGGCCAATCTGCTGGGAAAAAGAGCTGTCATTTTGCAGCTTCTTTGTAAGATGAGCAATGTCGCTCACAGTTTCGGACAGAAATTGCTCTAGTGACTTAATCTCTACAATGCTGCAAATTTTGTCACTGTTTCTGGACGGTGTGTAATGTATAGCGACTACTTGTAGTTTTGTTGCTCAAAACATACGCGTGGTTTTGCGTGTGGCCATGTTCACGCAGAAGCGCGGGAATTTGTGTGCAGCACATAAGCAACCAGAAACATTTGCACTCGTTGGGTAGTGAATCGTTGGGTGTAAGCGCGCTCCCTACAAGGGGATATGCAGGTGGTAGGTGTGACTTGGAATTGTCATAGGTGGAGGTTTGTGGGTCGTAGGTGCGCTCCCTATACAAGGAGATTTGCAGGTCGCAGGTGTGATCTGGAAGGGTCGTAGGTGGAGGTTTGAGGGTCGTAGGCGGGCTTGCAGGGTTGCAGGTGGGGTGTACCTTACACACCGTGGTGGTGGTACACCTTAAACACTGGTGTGGTTCTCCTAATTAAACACCGGGGGTGTGGTACACCTTAAACACCGGTGTGGTTCACCTTAAACACCAGGGGTGTGGTACACCTTAAACACCGGTGTGGTTCACCTTAAACACCGTGGTGGTGGTCCACCTTAAACACTGGTGTGGTTCACCTTAAACACCGGGGGTGTGGTACACCTTAAACACCGGTGTGATTCACCTTAAACACCAGGGGTGTGGTACACCTTAAACACCGGTGTGGTTCGTGTAGTGTACTTGTTCACTAATGTTTTGGGAATGTAGAACTTCATCCTATGATGGGCTACATTTTGGCTCAAGTTGACATTCCCTGTTTGAAGGGATTTTTGTTTTTATTTTCAGCTTTGTTCGCGTTCATGCTTGTTTTCAGCTTCACATGTAGTCAACATTGAACTTTTTCATTCGCGTTTTTTTACAGGGCATTTGCTCATACAACAGACTGGCAGATCAAACTCAAACATTTTGGTTGTCATTTGCTTTCATTCATCTCCGGCCGGACCCGGGCGCACATGGTGAGCCATCTGTGGTGGGCTCTAATTTTCAGTACTGCCTGTGACAGTTGTCAGATTTCTTGCAATCCAGATTTCATTGATTCAACTTTTTTCGGGGACCTGGTTCGACGTCGCTTTGAGTGCAGTGCAGACCTCAGTACATCATTTTCAAAATTTTTCGTTGCGCAGATGGATGTGGACATCGATGACTGGACCTTGATTTCCAACCCATGTCCCAAGAGCCGACCAGCACCGAAACCAGTTCCAAGTTTTCATTTTCGTCATGCTGCCAGTTTGTCACAGCCACTGTCAAAAGGGGGCAAAGAAGTTCCCAAATTCGAACGGCCGAATCCTTACCCAGTTTTGCAGTCGCCTAGGCGTTCAAATGACATGACAGTTTCTGGCATACCTGATATTTCATGTGTAGATGTCAAGATGTCCAAACCTGTGTTTTTGCCGGCGCAAGCACCTCGTGGTTCGTCAGCGCCTCAAAGAACTCGTGTTCAAGGTATCTCTGTCGATCTGCAACGCCGTTGGATAGCACTGGTCCACAGCATTGGCAATTTGTCACAAGTTTGGAGTGACTTTCAGGGTTCAACTCAAATTGAATCACATTGCCTTCGTTTGCTTGACAAATTTTCGAATTCCACAATGTTCAAGTACATTGGTACATTGCAGTGTGTCCACAACATTCTACAGGAGTTCTCATTGACCTGGCAGGCCATCGGGACATACAAATTGTCCGACTTGCTGCAAATCACGCACGAGGGGCGCCAGACAGATTGGGGATTTGGCGCATCAGCAGCCATCAAAGCGTTGCGTTGGTTACAGAAAACTTTACAAATTCCGGCTTGGAGTACTTTGCATGGACCAGTTGTCAATTCATTTTTGAATCCAAAAATTCATGAACGTAAGGAAGCCATTCCTTTGAGCCTATTCATCGTCACACAGTGGGAACGACGATTACTGATGAAGGACTGTCCTTTACAGGATCAGGTCGTTCTGGGTGGCTTCCTTTGTATGCTGTGGGCAGGCCTGAGATTCTCAGATGGACAGCGCATCAACTTGCAATCATTATCATGGTGCATCACGGCACTGCGTGGCTCATGCTTTCAGACTAAAACAACTAAATCCGGCCAACCTTGGGCCCTGCAGGCGAGGGGTTTCCTGTCTCGAGGCGATTGGTCATGGACAGCTCAGTGGTTGGTGGCGCTGGATACCATTTGGGGACCTATGCACAACGCTCAGACTGCCGGTGATTTTTTGCTTCCCATGACATTGGACACTGGATTTGTGCAGCCTATGATTCCCATGAGTTACTCTCAAGCATTGAAGTGGATGCGATTTATGTGCACACTGCCCTGGAAACTTTCAGACACACCAATGTCTGCCAATCCAAATGATTACACGTTGCATTCATTGAAGACCACTACTTTGTCTTGGTCCAATCAGTTGGCCCAGCAGGGCCTCGTGACGGAGGAGCAGCGACACCTCCAAGGCCACCATCGACGTGGCAGCATGCGCCTCTACAGCCGGGATGACACCGCCGGCCAGCTGGCACTGCAGGACACCCTCATCACCCAAGTGCAATCTGGATATCGATTTGTGACACCGTTGCATCGTGGATCACAGCAACCGATCCGTGAACCCCCAGTCAAATTAGAAAGCTTTGCCAAGTCATACCAAGAGCACCGATGGGCATTTTTTCCATTCAACAATGCTGTCAAAGACCCTCTGTTGAAAGGTCAGCCAACGGCACTTGCCACCATTGACTCAGGGGATGAGATCACAGTGGAAAGCGACTCGTCATCATCCTCCTCATCATCGAGCTCATCAGATTCACCTCGGAAAGTATCGAACAACATGACCCTGCTTGGACCTCCGGAGGAACTGGTTGTTGCCCGCTTTACAAAAATTCAACACATCATGCTTCACTGTGATGATCAACAACAGCCGGTTTGGGAAGGTGTGCATTATAGGGCAGCTTGTGGGGCTCGTTTACCCCGAGACCATTGTCATTTTGACACTCAGCTCCAACCATCATACAGCATTTGTCGACATGCAGCCTGCTGCAACCGTTGGCAACAAGTTTCAACCGATTCCTAATGAATCATTACTTCACTGCGGGGCGCCGAGCTTGCTGAAATGTGCAATTGACTGAGCAGCCATTGTTTTTCCACATACTCAGTTAAGGAGTGATGTGTCATGTTTTGTTTTCCTTTTCTCAAGTTGTTTTATCAAATGAATGACATGAAGATATCAGACATTATTTCAATCGACGCAACGAACTTCACTTGACTTCACAGTCACATTTGGTCGACATTCACTTGGAAGGCATCGAACTTAACCTCCATGCAGATGTGGCTCCAGGCTCCAACATCGATTCACTCAAGACACGTGATATTGGATCAACATTGAAAATGTTTACATTTTTAAGGCATTTGCATCAATCCAGGTTCAATCTTGGTTCAAAGTGTCTTCACAAATTTTCAGCAGCAATGCGTTCATCCATTTGCTTTGATTGGCATGTTGCCATCGCGTCGGCCTGGGGTCAGCGTAGGTCCACACAACCTTCCAAACTTATTAACAGTCCTTTTCTTTCCCCATACTCAATTTATGTCCCTCACATGAATCTTTTTTGATCGCATGATGAGAACTTCCATTTATACCAATCCATATGAATACACTGCCCACGTGTTCAATCATAATGCAGTTATGAATTATAATTTTTCGGTGGACGCTTCATCCAATGCGTTTGGCGTAGTCTCCTGTGGAGACAACATGGCTTTACCTGCGTTTGAAGACGTTTTGTCTGAATGTGGGGTTGACCCAACATTGGCTTCGCAGCTGGTGCAGGAGGGATGGACATCCCAAAATTTCGCAATGGTAGTTAATTCCAAAGAAGAGTTCAATGAAGGCATTTGGGACCAGTTGTGCAATTCACCAATTTCTTTGGTGCAGCGTTCAAACCTGAAAGTGGCTTGGCAACAGTTGCAACCTGACTCTACTAGTACCAGTCGGGACTCTAACATTGCTGGCATGCCGACAGCATCAGCTCCTGAAGGATCATGGTCTGAATCTTTCGCCCCCAAGCTTCAGGCGAACACAGTTTCGAAATTGAAGAAACAATTTTTGGACGACTATCCATCAGAGGTCCTTAGCCCAGACACGATGCCCAGTTCTCGCTTGCTTTCAATGGCGTTTCAGCATCATAGCAAACGTGAGTATCCATGGATCCCTTGGCGTTATCGAATGTCACAATCCAAAATGGATGATATGGTGATTTACCATAAGCCCAAAGTCCCCCGCATTGAGGGTCTTCAATTACACCAGTTGTTGCTGGACGAACCTCCGGCCTTGGACATCAACAACACTGGGATGGGCGTGAACGCAATCCGCAACATGATGGATATTCACAACACTGCGATGGCATTAGTGGGAGCATGTCATCTCCAACGATTGCGGGCATACTCATTACGCTTCATGAGCTTCTTGACCCAGCGTTTGGACGGAGATTCTGGACTCCGGACGCCGAACGTACTGGAGGCACAGGCAGCAGACAAACAACTATGGAATCTTATTCACGAATTGGTGTTGGATCAAGGATTTACATTGGACAACGCCTTACATGAGGTGACTCACCTGAGGGCGGACATGGCCTCCCTTTTGCAGCCAAGAGCCAAGGTCACCTCACGACCTATGGGTTCAACCTCATCTTCGGCCTCGACCACTACAGCCCCCAAGGGCAAGAGTAAGGGAAAAGGCAAATCCAAATCCATTGGCAAGAACACCAGAGGCGAAGCTCAAGGACGACCAACTTGGGTGACAGAAGCAACGATTCAGGGCAAGAAGCAGCAGCTCTGTATGCAATTCCAATCTGGTCGCTGTCAGAAGGGTGATCTCTGCAAGTTTGGCCACTTCTGTGCCTATCCGCTTGCTTCTGGACAAGCTTGCGGCCAAGCCCATAGCGCATTTGCTCATCAACAACAACCCCACTGACTTGCGGCTTCCGATGCACAGACCACAGCGACCAGCATGGATCTCAGCGATGACAAGGAGGGCGAAATTTTTTCACCCCCAACCGTCTCACCATCTCCTCAAGCCCAAGCTTTGGAGACTGTTTCACACACAGAGGAGGTTATCCCACCATCTGTTTCAAACAATGTGGATTTCTCCTATTTACAAGGTTCTCGAATTTTTCTGGACCTATGCTCTGGAGCCGGACATCCTCTGACATCAGCGATGCTACAGCGTAATTGCATTTGCTTTCCAGTTGACAAATTGATTTGTGATGACATGGATATTTTGAATAATTCATTCTTTGAACCTTTGTTGCGTGTATGCTCATCTGGATGCGTGGGTTATGCAGGGGCCGCCCCAAACTGTGGTGAGTACAGCCGACTCAAACTGAAGCCTCATGGACCACCAGCATTGCGGACACCTGAGTTTATGCAAGGCCTTCCTGGTCTCACTCCAGCCCAATTTGACCGAGTCCAAGCGAGCTATGAACTGATGACCCGATGCGTTTTGTGCTTGGAATTGGTTTACTCTGCAGGTGGACATGTCCACCTTGAACAACCGACGAACTCTATGGCATGGCTGGAGGCGGAGGTTCGGCGATTCATAAAATTTTGTGCTATATTTTTGGTAAATTTTCCTGCTTGTGCTTTCTCGCGGAATTGGAATAAGAGTTGGTTGTTGGCATGTTCATATCCAGCTTTAAAATCCTTAGGATCCATTTGCAATCACCCCAAAGACTCCCATGAACCCATTTCTGGCGTTCGACATGCGGATGGAACCTTTAAGAGCCGCGACACTGCTGAATACCCGGAACCAATGTGTGCGGCGATTGCCAACTTGATTGCACCACTCTGCGCTTCTGACACTGGTCAACAACTGACATGGACAACAGTACAACAATGCATCCCTGTGAAGGGTTATTGTGATTTTCCGGTGAGTTATGAAGATGGTGGTGGCCTCAACTCTGAACCCGATTGGAGTCGTCCACATCGGGCTACTCCTGACAGCTTGAAGCAACTTCGACAAGACTGGGTTCAATTGATCCTTCACAATGGGATGCTGGACAAAATGCAAGCATTTTTTCGGGCCCATGAAGCCCAACCACCCTTTTCTGCAGAAGACTTGGCTCCATTTCGACACTCCCTGGAACGTTTTATACAATCTCATGGCATGATTGCAGACTGGAGCATTCGCATGGACCAACCCATGCACCTTGAGATTATGGCGGCCATTTCAAGAATTATGCAAGACAAGGACAATTCCCTGTTTGATATGTTACGACATGGAGCTCCGACAGGAATCCAATCGGATATCCCACCTTCAACCATTTTTCCTCGTGCCGAAGACAAAGCAGATGATTCCATCCCTTTATCCATCCACATGACGAACTGGCAATCTGCAGAATCAGACTTGGAGACCACTCGTGATTTGGTCAACCAAGAGCTGGAAAAGGGATGGATCTACGAGTACCATGGCACCTTGGCCGATGCACAAGCAGAATTTGGGGACAAGTTAGCCATTGGACGTCTCGGCCTTGCTCTCAGCGATCATCGGCCCCCTCGATTAGTTGTTGACTCATCAATATGCGGCCTAAACAGTCGGTGCTCCATACCGGAGCGCACGACATTGCCGAGTGCATTGGACGTTATGCGGGTATACCCATTGAGGGAAACCCAAGAACAATTGGTGGGATTTTCGCTCGACATCAAATCCGCCCACAAGCTTGTTGTCATTCGAACAGAAGAACGCGGCCTATTAGGCTTTACACTCGATAACAAGATATACTTTTACAAAGTAGCCCCCTTCGGCGCTACCTTTAGCGCATATCACTGGACACGTGTGGGGAGCTTTATATTGAGGTTTTTCCACCACCTCCTGTGGTGGATCCACGCCGGATTCCTGTACGTTGATGACTACTTATTCCTTTTTCCTCAATCAGTAGCATTGATCATGGCTTGTGAGCTCTGCATAGCTTCACAAATTTTGAACATTCCTATCTCCTGGCGGAAATCTGAATTTGGTGCTCGGATTCACTGGATTGGCTGGCAATTTGAGATTACATCTGGGTACATAGACCTACCTCTTGTGAAACTGGAAAAACTGCGCAACTACATCACACAGATGATACGATCTTCTCGTACCTCAAAGAAGGCATTGGAGAAGTTGGTTGGGCTACTGAATTGGGTGACTCAGATTTTTCTGCTCATGCGATGCTGGCTTCCAATATTATACAAGGACCTTTTCCATGTTCCTGCAAGTCATTTTAGCATCGACCCAGGCCATTGGCGTAATGTCATGGCTTGTCTGGACAATGATTTGAAATTTACCAGTGCACCCACAGGCACTGGTATACCTGTAGGCAGCACTTTGTTGGCCATTCGCCATCAAAACGTTTCCTCCCTGTCGGATCTCAACAATATTTATCTTTCTGAAAGACGCACATGGCTTCGCATTCGAGATATGCAATCGTCAAAGCGATGCTTATCATCAGACTCCATACGGATTCTGCATATGTTTTCAGCCTGGTTACAGTCACTCTCCCTGGTGAAATGTCTCAGGCCAAAACAACTTTGGACTGGCGAGTGCGCAGCTGACGCATGTGCTCATGGCGATACTTGCCAAATCGGCGGATTCATTCGTTTTCCTTCTGGCACCGCAGTTTGGTTTAGTGAAACCTTTTCCTATGCAAAATTCGAATCCATGCATATTCCTGTCAGCAAAGAAATGCAGAAATGTATCGCTTGTTTTGAGACCTTGGCACAAATGGCAATACTTTTTATTTTCAGCCGCAGCTCCCCTGGATTTCGATATCCCTTACGTATACCTTCCTTGACTGATAACACTGGAGCAGAAGCGGGCGGCAACAAATTATTTTCGATGTCATCTCCGATGAACCTTTTTCTCGAAAAGCTGACTCTGTTATGTACCTTCTCCGGCATGGAACTTGACCTTTCTCATATTTCTGGCGAACGAAATGAAGAAGCAGATGCACTGAGTAGGTGGAACGAATCCACACCACCACCTTTTCAACACCTATTGCAAAATCGATTTCCACTTACACTGGAACAGCTGTGGCATCCAGAGACTTCAGTTGCGGTATATCCTCCAGAGACCTTTTTAGCTTGGCAACTCCCATAGAAACTGGACTGGGTAAAATTTTTACAAATCCACTCATCCCTCTATATATCTTTTCGACTGCTGGAATCCAACACATATATTGGGGCGTAATTGGCGTTTGTATCCCACCAGCCTGATAGATGAATTGGCAGAAAATAACCATCAGCCTGGCGTTTACACATTTGAACACGAAATGTGGTTCAAATGGATCCAAAGACAATTAACAATTCTGGCAGTCGAAAAAGAGATTAATATAAAGTGCGGTCTGTGAGATTCCGTCGTTTTGCGGTATTGCGTTTTCATTTATAGGTTTTGATTTATTTGAATAATAAATAAAAATTATATAGGGGAATGTCTACTTGAGCCAGAACGTGTAGTGTACTTGTTCACTAATGTTTTGGGAATGTAGAACTTCATCCTATGATGGGCTACATTTTGGCTCAAGTTGACATTCCCTGTTTGAAGGGATTTTTGTTTTCCCCCCCACCCTCACCAATGATATTAAAGGGGTTTCGGGGACTATCTAACCTACACTCCCTTTTTCTATACCCGGTCCGGTTTTCAATTGCGTACGTTTCACATCCTCAGCGTTCACTTTAAGTGAACCTATTGCAGCGACGCCATCTTCATTCGACTTCATCCCTTTTTCTTGGCCAAATATTGGCTACCTGATGGGCAGAAAATAACCATCAGCCTGGCGTTTACACATTTGAACACGAAATGTGGTTCAAATGGATCCAAAGACAATTAACAATTCTGGCAGTCGAAAAAGAGATTAATATAAAGTGCGGTCTGTGAGATTCCGTCGTTTTGCGGTATTGCGTTTTCATTTATAGGTTTTGATTTATTTGAATAATAAATTAAAATTATATAGGGGAATGTCTACTTGAGCCAGAACAGCCAGGTTCAGTGGTCTGGGTACAAAGCCTAACAGATTGACTGCCGAAATGGTGGTCTCTCTGTAACCCAGAGATTCCTTGCAGTTTTCCAACTATTGGACGATTATGAGGACCAAGAGGTTGCGTGAAATGGCACGTCCACTCTCTGAGAGCAGCCCATCGAGGGTTAAGTAGTTAACAAGTTCACAGATTTGTTTGGTCTTGTTGTTATTTGTCTTTGCCAAGACCCAAAGACCCAGGGAGCAGTATACTGGGCAGGGAAGGGGCACCTAGGTGGCAGTACGTCCTTAATTCCAGAACATGAAAACCACTAACTCTGTTAGCGTCCACATTCAGAAAAATACCTTTATCGGTTTCTATGGTTCCAGGTCAACCATTATCCCCTTTACCAATCCAGTCAATTGACCAGAGAGGTATTTAAGTAGTACCGTCCAATATAATTGCAACCATCCGTCATGCTAAGATGCCCATCCACTAAGAGTATATCTTATCCCTAGTTCTACCCAAAGGGGATTTTCCCTAGTCATTGGCGTTAGGTGTACACTACTCCCTATCATTGTCACTGCGTCCGTAAATTTTCGGCTAGAGCTTGTCCGTTGGCATTTCCTGTCCACCACCCTGCTTCGTGCAGACCGTCCGATCGTGAGGTATAGCAGTTCTGATCTTCCATGCATAGGGCAGCGCGTAGCATAACTGCTGACCATGTCCGAGTTTTACTCCAGCAGCTCCTCTTTATCCATCGGGTTAAACTCTTGGCCATGAGATTGCAGTATCAGTTGGAGGAAACCATGGATGACCTGGACGACATAGGGTTTGACGAACAGGTACTCAGTGGAGTGCTACGAACCACCCACCTTGAGATCATTAGCTTTATTGCCCGCTGTGATCGCACGATGCTCATGACAGAGCAACGCATCTTGCGTGTACTCCTGCGATGAAATGCGGAACAGAGATGTACAGGCAGAATTTTTTGAGTGGACTATGCAGAGTGCCTCTTACCGTTAAGAAACAGTTAAGCAGTCAACACTCCGGATTCCCTGGTAACCACCACTGGCTCCCTTTAACTAGAGAGTTGTCACGCTGAGGGTATACTCCCATGACCAGTCCTAATGTCTACACAGGTTGCTGACTGCCGCTGCTTCCCGCACTAGCGCATTTAGTTAGGTAGTCCCTAATACCTACCCCCCCGCGGTGCCCCTCACACCAGTAGAAACGCGACACATGTGTCCTTTACTTCCTCTACTGTTCCCAAGGGCGCCTTGGGTAATGGGGAGGGTTCAGCTCTGTGTTCATTCTACCAGGTATTTATCTCCCATGGTTTACTCACACATGCCTGATCTTCTCGTCCCGATATCCTGCTGCCCTATCTCCTCTCAATGATGTGTGCTCCTTGCTAACAGTGCTCCTCAGGGTTACCTCTCTTCTCGCTTGTACTGATAGCCTCCCTTTCTGCCCAGTGCTGCTGCTCCACCACTCG